TGCCTGTTGTCTTAGCATTTTCAGAGGTTGAGGCTGGAGGATTGCTTGAGGCCAAGAGTTTACAACCAGCCTGATCAACATAGTGAGACCTCGTTTCTACCAAAAATAGAAAAATTATCCATGTGTGGTAGTGTGTACCTATAGTCCCAGCTATTCCTCAGGAGGCTGAAGCAAGAGCTTGATTCTTTGAGCCCAGGAATTTGAGGTTGCAGTGAGCTATGCTGATGCCACTGATCTCTAATCTGAGCAACAGAGGGAGACCTTGTCTCAAAAACAAAAAAATTAAAAGCATAACACACTCATAAAAAAGTGTACAAGCCATGAGTTATACCTCCCCTGCTCAATGTGGTAGCCAGTAGCTCCATGTGGGTACTGAGCATTTGAAACGTGGCTAGTCCAAATTAAGGTAGACTACAAGTGAAAAATCATACCAAGTTTCTAAGACTTGGTACAGAAAAAAATTATGTGCAATCTCATTAATAATTTTTATACTGAGTATATATTGAAATGATGATCATTTGGTTATATCACATTAAATGAAATATATTATTAAAATTAATTTTACTTATTTCTTTTCACTTTTTTTTTTTTTGCAGTTTTTGGCCCGGGGCTGGATTTGAATCCACCACCTCTGGCATATGGGGCCAGTGCCCTACTCCTTTGAGCCACAGGCACCGCCCTCTTTTCACTTTTTGAATGTGGGCTATGAGAAACATTTCAATTATGTGTGTGAGTTGCATTATACAAGGCCTGACAATTAAGTTCACAAACTCTTTCTAGAAAACATGCTACCTACCTCATTGCTGAATATCACTATAGTCACCTTCAAAGTACTACCTTTGGAAGCTGTGCCCTGACACCAGCCTATCTACCCTTCAAAGCAATTTTGGAACTCTTCCTGGACTGACCATCAAAACTGTTGTGTTACCCTTAAGGCCCTGAATGTCATCAAAATGTCTTCCCTTCAGCATTTCTTTTATCTTTGGGTAAAGAAAAATGTTATGGGGGGGCCAAATCAGGTGAGTAGGAAGGGTGTTCCAATACATTTATCTGTTTACTAACTAAAAATTCCCTCACAGATAGTGCTGTGGGAGCTGGTGCATTGTCATGATGTAAGAGGCGTAAGTTGTTGGCCAAGATTTTCCTGTTTCTTTGTCACCGTTTACGTGATCTATTATGCTTCTCACAGTCAGCAGAGAATTTTGACGTGCAATTTGATTAATTTCTGCAATGTTTTTGTCAGTTCTTCTCATTACTGGCTGCCGTGACCCTTCTTCATCAATGACACTTTCGCTCTCCTCAGAAAAACATTTAATCCACACTGCCATTTTCTTCATGACATTATTTCCATAAACTTGGACTAACATGTCCCTGATTTCACTTCTACTCTTAACAAGTTTAACAAGAAATTTATGAATGTTTGTTTGTTGCTCTAATTTAAGCTCCGATGTTCTCATGACAGCACACACAACACCCAACAACAATAGTGAACACCACTCAGGAAGACACAGCTACATGTCACCACAAACACAACTGTGAGAACTGATATACCAAGGTAACGAAACCTCACTGAGTTGTTTTTACAGTGCTGCTGACGTAAGCACAAGATGTCAAGTTCACAAACTGAATTGTCAGACCTTGTATTTCTACTGGGCATTGCAAAGTAGGACTATGGTATAGCTCCCCAGACAATAAAACCTACCACCTGAGCAGTACACTGTAATTCTTTATTAGGAATAATCAATAAACATGTGGTAAGAATCCGTTTTTTTAAGGCAATGGGATTGCCTATTAAGACTGTACTCTACCAGAACTTAAAATTGTGTCTAAGCTCTAAGTTGTGGATTTAATACACCCATTTGTTAGAATGTGTATGTAATTGGGCTTCTGGAATTGCCACTGAGTTCAGTGTCATGTCCCTATCAAAACGTGCACACAGGACATGAACAGACAGAAAACCCAGGATGGAGAGTCAGTTCCATCGATGGGTGTTCATCATCTCTTTCTGTCTCAATTTCTTTTCTTTTCTGCCAAGCAAGGATGATGGAACAGCACACAAAGTTTCAGACAAGAGCAATCAGCACTGTGTACACACTGAAGGGAAGAGAGATTACAGGGGCATCACTGGGGCTGTGGCTGGGTACAGGGCCCTCCCTTCCTCCTGTGGGTCAGATCTGCCATCTCTCCCCCTCCCTAACCCTCAGCTTCCACTTTTGCTTGTTGCTGAAGCACACATTGACGATACTGAAGTATACACACATTTTTATCAAACACAAATGCTGTCAACAGGTAGATTCT